TATTTATTTATGCATACAGAACTGAGGTACAGACCAGAGGAGCAGGGGAAGTGAAAGGATTCACCAGAGACAGAGTGAGGAGCAGAACAGGCTGACTGACAAAGTACACTGCTGAGGGGAGCAATGGGCAGGTCAGGAGAGGTCTGCTGTGCCATGTGGGTCACCTCTAGAGTGGGGATCGAACTCATGCTGAAGTGGCTTTAGCTTCTTAGTGCTGTGCTTTAACCCGCAAAGCTACCAGGGAGGGCCCAGGTCATATAATTTTTTTTCCAAGTTATATAATTTTAAATATTAGGGAGAGTGTTTGAGAGATACTGGTTCAAGTACAGTTAGTAGATGAATTAAATAAATGTGGTCTTAATCTTTTTTCAACTTAAGTTTTTCTTTATGGTTCCAGAAGAATTTTCTAAAATTTGTATTTACTTCTGATTGTGAAAATAGCATGTGTTCATAATAATTTGAAAAAGATATGAAAGCAGAAGTAGAAATCACCATTGCTTTCATTATTTTCTGTTACTTCTGGGTTTTCCTTCCAGTATCTTTTCTCTTTACATGTATGTTTTATGACTTATTAAAAGTGTGTTATTGTAAAAGCAGTTCCTGATTGTTACAAGTAGCAAAATTAAACAATTCAGTCAGTGTTCAGAATTCTGAGACGTTACCATTAACAATTTGTATTGGAACAGTTATCTCCAAAAGTAATTAAAGCCTGTACTATACTGCAAAGAATGGGAATGATATAATTTGATTAATTAGTGTAGATTTGATGGATGTTTAAGTCATTCATAGTTATTTTTTTGTTTACTGTTAGAAGCAATGCATTATGAACATCATTGTATGTGTACTTTTGCTTATTTTGAAAAGGCTAAAACAGTTTTCTTCCCCATATGTACTAATTCATATTCTTACCAACAAGGACCTGTCACAGACTGTCAAACTGGACTAACTTTTTAAATTCTGCTTATCCTTTTAATACTCTACCAAAAACTGACAGTTGGTAGTTTTTTAAGGTCACTTGTAGAGTTAGAAAGCATATGCAAAAACTTTTCCTGTTCTTTCTCACATTACACTCCATAGTACTTTGAATAGATACTAACCCCTGGGTTATTTTGTAAATACGGTTATTGATCAGGTGAAAATGCTGTTTAGTGAAATATGGAGATATTTCAAAAACATTTGATTATACCAGCTTAAATCTTAATATAACTATAGTTTCATCTGAAAAAGTTTTTTTTTAAGTATTTAGACATTATCAAGGTCATCTGGTAGAGAGTTATTTTGAAAAAGTTTCGATTTTCAATTTGTGTTTTTATTATTTGCTATAATAATAACAAATACTTTATTTTTTTTTCTTAAAGTAACAGACTACATTTTTGAGAATGCTTTTTCTTTTTTTCCCCTTGATTTCACTGCTGAATAGAAAAGGTGAAAGTGGATATCCTTGTCTTGGTCTCAGTCATATGTGGAAAGCATTCAATTTTCCATCATTATGTATCATGTGAGCTATGAGATTTTCTGAGATGACTTTTCCCAGACTGAGGAATTACCTTCTGTTCTACATTTACTCAGAATTTTATCAAATGTGTTTTTAGTAACTATTATTTAGTAACTTGAGGTCTTTTTGCACTTACTTTGTTATTATGGTAGAATTACATTGGTGGTTTGTTTATTGTTAACCCAATTTACATTCCTGGGTTAGGTCATCATCATAGTGTCCTGTTCACTCTTAAACACTTGTCAGATTAGTTAAGACAATGACAGTTTTTAAGTGTTTTTTGGAAACATTTGAAAAAATAAGTTTTTTAATAAGCCAAAATATATTGCTACCTTATTCATGGATTATTTCATAACGACTTAAACTGTTTGAAAACAGATGCTAAGAAGGAAGTTAAAAAAGCCCATTGACAATCCTTTCATTGAGAGTCTCAGATCTTGTTTTACTTTTTTTATATAGTTCTAACAGGTTTGATGATCTGGTTTCCTTGGGCCCTGCAGATCAGAAGTAACAAACTTTATTTTTTTTTAATTTTTTTTTTTACTTATGCATACAGAACTGGGGTATAGGCCAGAGGTGCAGGGGCAGTGAGAATTCACCAGAGACAGTGGGGAGCAGAACAAGCAAATTGGCGAAGTACACGGCTGAAGGGAGCAGCAGGTGAGACAGGAGTGGTCTGCTGCGTCCTGTGATTCACCTCCCTGGCTGGGGATTGAACTCATAGTGAAGCACCTGCGGCTAGATTCATAATGCTGCACTTTAACCGCTGATGTGCCACTAGGGAAAGCCCAGTCATAACAAACTTTAAAAGTGAAAATGAGTTGTGAGAGATTTGTAAATTAAAAGTATAAAAATTAACAGAGGTATAGAGGGGAAGAAAGTGTGATAATTCTAAAAGTATATTAGTTGATAGTTGTTGATAAATCACCATTGCAGCTTCAGGCTTTTGATAGATACTGCAGAGTAAAAGCAGTACATTGTTGAAAACAACTGGAGTGAGGCTCTCATCCACTGACTCTAAACCTTTTCTCCTTGCTTTTAACATGTGGGGGGTGTTGGAATGACGCATTTTTGTAAGCGTGGTTCACACTAAATTAGTGACTCCCAGGGGAGCAAGGGGGTGTATGCGTCCCTGCATTGGGATTGTGTGTTAACGTATATCCCTGCGCGTTTATGAGAATCTCTTTCTGGGAAGGGAACCATGTATGCAGTTTGAATTTGTCTGCTTTTCTCTACCCCTAGTATAATTATATTATCTTCCCTTCCTCTCTATATATATTCTGCTGTCTGAGTCATACTCGCATTCAAGAATAACTGGTGTTATCCAAACTCCTGATATGGTTTACTTGAAAGTTGAATGGCTAATGTTAGGACAGACTGAAAACTCAGTTGACCCATCTTCTAGTCTAGTAGATAGTTCTTCTCTGCCCATGCAGCGATTACTATTTGAAATGATAGAATGAACAACAAAATTAAAATTATATTCTTCAGCATTTCTATTTTATTTATTTATTTAAAAAGATTTATTTATTTATTTCTGCATGCAGAACTGGGATACAGGCCAGAGGTGCAGGGGCAGCAACAGGCTTCACCAGAGACAGAGTGGGGGAGCAGAACAGGCAGATCAGTGAAGTACACGGCTGAGGGGAGCAATGGCCGAGACAGGAGTGGTCTGCCATGCCATGTGGGTCATCACAGTCCTGGACTGGAGATCAGTCTTACACTGAAGTGGCTACAGCTGGCTTGCAGTGCTGTGTCCTAATCAGTTGTGCCATGAGGGAGGGACCCTTATAGTCCTATTTTAAAAGGAATGTAAAGATTTTATATATTTTCATTTTTTAAAAAATATTTATTTATGTATGCATACAGAGGTGGGGTACAGGCCAGCGGTGCAGGGGTGGTGAGAGGATTCACCAGAGACAGTGGGGAGCAGAACAGGCAGATTGATGAAGTGCACTGCTGAGGGGAGCAGTGGGCTGGTCAGTACAGGTCTGCTGCGCCATGTGGGTCACCTCCGGGGTAGGCGGGGATCGAACTCATGTGGCAGTGGCTTAAGCTTCTTAGTGCTGGGCTTTTACCCGCTGCGCCACCAGGGAGGGCCCATGTAAAGATTTTATTACATTTTAGATGTTTTACTCCCTTCTAAAATTACTTAAAACAAAAATCACCTGGAAGTAAAACTAAGACTTTGAAGAAAGACCATTTCCTCATGATAAATAGGTAAATTGATATTAAGGTAAATTGGTCACCTATTATGTTTATTAGGAGTCTGTTCTAAAAATGCAATGAAGACTTCTGTATATTTAGGCTATTTATATGGAGTTTATTTTATTTGGTATTATTGAACAATGCATATTTAGTTAAGTGGCAAAGAAAAGAGAATTTATATCTCCCAATTTCTGTGAATCAGGATTCTTTGCTTGAAGGTCTTGACAAGTAAAGTCAGGGTGTCTACCTCATGTGCAGTCTTATCTGAGAATCTAGTACTTTCCTCTGCCTCCAGGCTTACTGGTTATCTCTGCAATTCACTTCTTCATGGCAGTAGGCCTGAGCACTATTCTCTGGCATGTGTTTCTCTCCACAACATAGTTTGCATTTTTTAAAGACTTAAATACCCCCAATTTCTAGTGGTTTTTTTTGTTTTTCTTAAAGGGTTTCCTTGTTTAGGTTAGGCCGACCCAGTTGAACAGTTCCCCTTTGGATTAATTTAAGGCCACTGTTGGGACCTTAACATAAAATAATTCTGAGAGTAAAATCTTGTAATCTTTGTTACACTAAAAGGAGAGGTAGTATAGGGCTGTACGTCTTTGCATAGGAACGTTGTACAGTGATCTTTGCATTATGCATACTGCAGGCTTATTAAAAAGCATTGGCTTCCTTGTTCAATAAAAGTGAACCTTTCTGCGCCAGGCATCTCTAGACCATGGAAATGTAAGGTTCACATGCCCATCTCCTGTCTGTGATAACATGATGGAGACCACCAATGAGGCACTATTTAGAAAGCTGTTCAGGGCCTCCCTTGTGGTGCAGCGGATTAAAGCACAGCACTAAGAAGCTAAAGCCACTTCTGCATGAGTTCAATCCCTGCCCCAGAGGTGACCCACATGATGGCAGACCTCTCCTGACCTGCCCGCTGCTCCCCTCAGCCATTTACTTTATCAGTCGGCCTGTTCTACTCCCCACTCTCTCTGGTGAATCCTTTCCCCGCCCCTGCACCTGTGGCCTATACCCCAGCTCTGTATGCATAAATAAATAAATCTTTAAAAAAAAAAAAAAGAGAGAGAGAGAGAGAGAGCTGTTCAGGGGTAACCAGGCTACTGTGTGGACATCATGTGAGAAAATACAGGATGGGAGAGTTGGATCAGGAAAAGGTTTATTGAATATATGGGAGAAGGGGAAAAGTTAATTGAAAATGCAAATTAAAAAAACTATATTGATTTTTCTAAGATGAAAAGTTTGGTACTTATATGATGAAATTATTCAAATTCTTTTTCCTTTCCCTCAGATGGCATACCTCAAGTTTACTATTTTGGCCCTTGTGGTAAATACAACGCTATGGTGCTGGAACTACTGGGACCTAGTTTGGAAGACTTGTTTGACTTGTGTGACAGAACATTTTCCCTTAAAACAGTTCTCATGATAGCTATCCAGTTGGTAAGTAAAGCCAGGATACTTTGAAGTTGTTTGAAAATTTCATGGTTTCTTTGGACACAAATTTATATGAGAGGCTTCAAGTTTTACGTGATCTTACAGAGCACTCAGCTTAATAAAAAATGTTTCTGCTTTCATATCATTGTCTTTTTCAGATTTATATAACTTAAAAACTGAATCAAGTTCGTTTTATTTGTATGAGAGAATTGACATCTTTCTAACTCAAGGATCAGAATGTTTAGTTTGAGAATTTAGTTGTTTCCACCTCCTTGTCATTAGAAGATGAATACTTAAAAATGAAAACCCTCAGAAACATAGTTCTAAAACTTGGTAATAAATTTTAATGGTCTGGAAAAAGAAGAAATAAACTAAAGAGTGTTATCAATTATTTAAATTTTAGGAAACTAAGGGAAACAACGTCTGTGATGATTGTTAGGCAGTGCTGAAGTAAATACCAATAGGAATGTGGGTGACAGAAGTCTTAACAATGTTTTTATACATTGACTCATTAATTCTGCAAATTCTATGAAAATATCCAGATGTACTTAAAAACATTTTGTGCAAGATTCTTTATGATTTAAAAAGTTAGAAAAAAAATCCAAATGTGTAGAATTAGCAGAATTAGTTAAGTCATTAATAGCCAGAAAATAATTTGTGACCATTAGGAATTGTGTATTATCAGAGTGTTTTATGATCTGGAAAATGCTTACATCACTAATTGAAAATCATGCAATACTTTTATTATATAAGTTGTTATACATAATCCAAAATTTTAAAACAAACTATATTGGTCTGAATGACTATATGTTAGATCAGTTGTCACCCATGATTATCACAGATGAAGCAATTTTATTATCTTACTTTGCAGTATTCTATTGTGATTTGTGTAATGAATGTTATTTGAGAATGTGTAAAACAGTTAATGAAAATATACTATTTTAGTAAACGTTTTAATACATTATTGTACATTATTATAGTTAGATTTAAAGATTGTTTAGTTTCAAGTACTTTTTAAATTTTTAACAGGGAAAAAATGAAAGTTATAAAAAAGAAAAAAGCTAGGCAAGATGTTTCTATTGAGCTGATAAGAATAATCTGCAACTTTATCAATATGTCTGTTGTAACTGGGGTTCAAGATTTTGAATCTTGCTAATTCAAGCAAGTATAACATTTAATATACTAAAATTTGTTAATTTTATAAGTTAGAATCATCTGAAGTGTTTAACGAGTCCAGGGTTACTCATTAAATGAAAGGACTTCTTGAAGTTCAGACATTTTCATTAATAGGACACCTAATACAAATGAAGATTTTTAAATCATAATTTTGATATACATTAAAGAAACAATAGACTTAGCACTTATCATACTACTTTTAAAGAATTGAAACAATTCCTATTTTTTTGTTGTTTTCATTGTGAAAATTCTGTCTTGTTGCTATCATGCTTTTTTTGTACTACTCAAAACCTAACAATGAATTTGTCATTTTTTTTGTTTTGACTCAAGATCTCCCGTATGGAATATGTCCATTCAAAGAACTTGATATACAGAGATGTAAAACCTGAGAACTTTTTAATAGGAAGACCAGGAAACAAAACCCAGCAAGTTATTCATATTATAGATTTTGGTTTGGCAAAGGAATATATTGATCCAGAGACAAAGAAACACATACCATACAGAGAACACAAGAGCCTTACAGGAACAGCAAGATACATGAGCATAAACACACATTTAGGAAAAGGTATGTGTATACTTTCTATAAGTATGGGAGTTTGAATTCAGAAATATGCTAACTGTATAAGTATTTGTTTCTTCAGGTTACAGTTACTTTTATAATTTTTATTTGTCATGTCAGACTTGAATTTACTATTATTTATATTTAATAAAACTCAAGTAACCTGTTTTTTGGTAAATGAATAACAGATATCGTTACATTCACTATATATGTATTTTTTATATGATAACCTGATATTTTCAGCTTTGATAGGATTAGGGCGATCATTTGATTTATGAGTGTGTTGGTGGTAGGTGTGGTATGGTAACATGTAACTGAAAAGGTGGGGTCATGTATTTCTGAGTGACATATAGCACAGTGTTGTAAATCTTATTGAAAGTAGCAGAAAAAAATAAAAATAATTATGTAAATGATTACTATGTTTATGGAACTCCTAATTAGTTCCAAAATTGAGAAAAGAGCTAATCTGATAAAATAAAATTACCTTCAAAATGTGCCTTACCCCCCCCCCCAAAAAAAATGATGTATATTGTGTTTGTAGATATTTGATTGAGATACCTTTGTCTTTGTTATATAGCTAGTCAGGAGGGTAGCAACTTGGCTAGTCAGTTTAAAGCTTAGAGGTATTGTTTACTATGTATTAACAAATATAACTTTGGGCAAATTATTAAACCTTTTTAATGGGATCCTATTTGAAAGAAGGGTATAATACTAACTTCGTAGATTCCCCCCTCCCCAATACCCTTGGATCAAACATTTACTTGTCTATCTCTTTAGTCTCTTTTCTTTTTGGAACAGTTAACTTGTTTTCAATTTTAAACAGCTTTTTAACATTTTTTTGGCTACAAGCTATTTTGGGTCTGCATGGTGTCATTTTTCCTTTTTGTGTAGAACTGGGGTATGGGCCACAAGAACAGGGGTTTCACCAGAGGCAGTGGGAAGCAGAACAGATGGATTTACTGAAATACACTCCTGAGGGGAGCACTTGTAAGACAGGAGAGGTCTTCCTTGCCATATGTGGGTCACTTCCCTGCAGGGGATCAAATTCAGGCAGTAGTGTTAATAGTGCTGAGATTTAACCTAGGCCACCAGGGAAGCCCTTGTGTGATAGTTCTTAATGATTCTTTTTGTGTATGCATTATTTGCATAAACATTATAGAAGTGATAAATTTCCTCTGGTGGGAACTGGTACAGCTTTGATCACTTTCTTTAGGAACTGTCTATTAAAAGTTTCTCCACTTGAACATTTATTATTTTACATTTGTATTTAAGCAAGTATTTTATAAGTAGAATTTTGAAATTAAATATGCTGTTCTTTATCACATTTTTGCCCACTAGATTTAGTATCCACCGATGATTTTTCTGATGCCTTCATCCTGCATATATTTAATAGTTAATATTCTTATGGAAGCGAAAATGTTCCCTCCTTCCCTTATTTATTGAATTTTATCAGTGTGAACACATGGTTTTTTATTGAATGTATTACAATACATTATTGTTATTTACTTTGATGCTGAAATTGTCTCAGATTTATCCTTCAAGCTGCCCTTTTGGCATCATCTCATGATTCTTTGAGAACCTGTGCAACAAGTTTTTCTGGGTTCTTCTTTACTTTGTCTGATTGCTCATTGACATTTTTCCAAGAACCTGTGGGTTCTTTAACCAGACAGTGGTATGTAGAAACCAGGATTTGGTCAGGTGGTATGCTTATTGCTATACTGGTATGTTAATTGCTTCTAGGATATTCAGCAACGGAACTAGGAAATGTGCAAATACACATACATACTCTTTTGCAAAAATACATCTCTGTATCTGTGTAGAGATGGATACTCTGATAAACACAGATAAAAAAATCTATTAAAAACCATGAGTTTATACTGATACTCTAATTTTAATTTTACCCCACCAAGGAGTTCGACTTTTTCTGCTTCCATGTTTCTAATTCTAAGCTTTTTTCTGTATTTATATCCTGCTTTGCCAATAGTCAGAAATATGGCTCCCACTGCTACCATATATTTACTCATCTTTAAAATCCTAGGATAACTAAATGTAGTTTCAGAATTGCTGCTAATACTTTGTGAAAAGACCAAACACACTACAATGAAAATATTTGTAATTATTATTTTATTGAAGGCTTTAAAATTACATAAAAACTTTCATTTTGTAAAGTATTTCACATTTGAGTATATAATTTGTGAATATTGAAACATCTTCATAACCCACAATCTATCAAGATTTAGAATACTATCAACGCTAAGATACCCTTCTTGTTTTTTTCTGTCAGCCCCTACTTTTTCTAAAAGGATCTGATTTATGTTACCATAATTAGCTTATATCATTCTATTATACATTTATATAATTGATACAGCTTTTTTTTGTCCAGTGTAATATGTATGACATTTATCTGTGTTGTTACAAGTATCAGTAGTAATATTGTCATAATATTGTTATACTGTATTGTATAAATATACTACATACTATTTTTTTTTAAGATTTTATTTATTTATGCATAAATATGGTGAAGGCCAGAGGTACAGGGACCATGAGAAGATTTACCAGAGACAGAGTGGGGAGCAGAACAGGCAGATCGACGAAGTACACTGCTGAGGGGAGCAGTGGGTGGGTCAGGAGAGGTCTGCTGCTCCATGTGGATCGCATCAGAGGGCTAGGGATCGAACTCTGAAGTGGCTGCAGCTAGTTTGCAGTGCTGTGCCTTAACCCACTATGCCAGCAGGGTGGGCCTATATATTATTTTCTATTCTAATTTAGTGGGTTTATGTTTTGAAATCTTTTGGGTGAATATCTAAGTTTGAAATTGTCGGTTCATCTGGTAGTTATTTTTTAACACTGTAGAAAACTGTCGGTCACTTCCCCTAAGCATCAGTACGGTGTTCTTTTTCTACCAGCAGAAGTGAGAGTTCTGATTGTTCACATCCTTGACACTTGGCAGTGTCAAGTAGCCATTCTAGTGGCACTGTAGTGATACTTTATTTTGCTGTGACTAAAGATTTTAATCACTGTTTAATATACTTAAGGATCACTTAGTTACCTTATTTTGTATAGTATGCATTTGTTGATTTTTAGGAACTCTATATAATCTGACGATTACATATATGTGTCCTGAAAATTTTCTTGTCTGTTTCTTGCCTTGTCATTTTCTTTGTTTTTAGTGCCATTATGTTCTGTTTTCAAAACCATGACTTATTTTTATTTCCTCCTGTTCTGTTCATTTTTTATTTTACATTATTCTACATTTTGTACATTTTTTTCATCTCAGTTGTAATCCC